ACAGTTTGGGGAATATTTTATTCTAATCTAGAGATATCACTAAAGAAAGAAAATGCAATGACAGGAGTCAGTATAGAACAAAGAAATTTCCCTTCATGTTACCTGTTTAAAATAGCTAAAAAGGCATTAAACATACAACTCTTATAGTTAAGAGCAATTTTTTAGTTCTACAGGAATAACTGAAATCAGGAAAACAAAAGGATGTGGGTGGTGAAGGGAGAAGGCAAGGGTGGGAGTTTACCTTAAACTATCTTACTACCTTTCAGTGGACTTGCTTTAAGGACTGCAAGAATAATTAAATCATCCCACTTTAAAATCCATACATCAATTAATATAATGTACTACTTCCGAATTAGAGATTTAGTCCCTCATTCTAAAAATATTTTAATGGTTGTTGTTCTAAAGACTCCATCACGGGCTCCAGTTAAAGATGGAAGGTTGTGCACGTGCACTAGCATGTCCACAGCTATGGAATGAAGCATGCCCCTCTTCTTGAAGCATGGTGATGCACTAACTCTTAATGTGATGGTACCACAGATGGAGCCTCTTGAGAGATAATAAGGGTTCAGATGCAATCATGATAGTGGTATCCTCATGATGAGATTAATGCCCTTATAAGAAAGACACCAGGGATGCCTGGGTGGCTCAGCGGTTGAGCGTCTGCCTTTGGCTCACAGCGTCATCCTGGAGTCCCGGGATCAAGTCCCACATCGGACTCCCTGCGTGGAACCTGCTTTTCCCTCTGCCTGTGTCTCTGCCTCTCTCTGTGTGTCTCTCATGAATAAATAAATAAAATCTTTTAAAAAAAAGAAAGACACCAGAGCTCTCTCTCCTCCAGCTGAAGCCACATTAAGAAGGTGCCATTTGCAAGTCAGGAAGAGAGATCTCACCAGAAACCAAGCATGCTGGCACTCTGATCTTAGACTTTCAGGCTCCAGAACTGTGAAGGAAAATTTCTGTTATTTAAGTCACTGGCCTATGGTATTTTGTTATGGCAGCTTGAGCAGATTAATACACCCACTAAAATGGTTATAAAAGGATTTTTCAAAAAGCCTAAACCCATAAGGACAAAGAGAATAGGAAAGATGAAAGCAACGTTTTGGATACTAAAATAGGAGAGAGGTTAGTGGTAACTGATTTAGCAAACTCTAGAATCTTAAAGCAAGCACAGGAAAAATGAAAAAGCAACTAAACTACCACAGAACCCCCAAGAGGCTCAGGAACTGGTGGCACCAGGTACCTTGGAAGCACAGGTAAATGTGGGAGTATATGCAGAAGCTCTAGAGCTCTAGAGCTCTTAAGTATGCTTAAGAGCAGCAAGACACCCCCCCCCCTTCCCACTATGTGGGCACCAGACCGAAGGTCTCCTCACTAGACAGAGACTGTGCTGGAGCTGGGGTGGGAGTGAGGCCATCACACCAGGCACAACTGCAGACCTGTGGAGGTCAAACAGAAGCTTACACACTGAATGCAGAGGGTCCTCAGACGTTTCCCTACTTGGCTTCCAAAATGCTGAGAGGCAGACATATATCTTCCAAGGAGAAACTGGACATTCACTGGGGACTCTGTCTAGCTCAAGGGAGACAGTCAACAGAACAGCCTAGCAAGATCTCACTGGGTGATGCCCACAGTTTCAAGCCCCACCCACAACTGCAGAGCTACCCAGCAGCTTTCTATGGCTCCATTCTTACACAGGAGCAGATGGCCAAGCAAGTTCTCTAACCTCAAAGGCAGACAAAAGCAAATTAACAAAAAAGGCAACCTGAAAGAAACAGAGCTAAAAAGAGAATCTATGAAAGAATAGACACCAATAAAAAAAAAAAAAAGAAACTCTTAGGAATTAAAATTATGTCACAAATGAAAAAAATAACCTCCACAGAAGGGACAGATGATAAAACGGATAGAGCCAAAAACCAAAAATAAAAATAAGAGAAAATAAGAAAATGGGAGGGACAATCTCAGGAGTACATCTGACTAGAGAAAGAAAACTGAGTGGAGGGTATTATTATACAAATAATTCACAAAATTTTCCCAAAATTAAAGGATGTGACTCCCCAGACTTCAAGTTCTAATAAATACTCAGGGTAATGTATAAGAATATATGTTCTATGGGCACCTGGATGGCTCAGTGCGTAAGCGTCTGCCTTCAGCCCAGGGTGTGATGCTGGAGACCTGGGATCGAGTCCCGCATTGGGCTCCCTGCATGGAGCCTGCTTCTCCCTCTGCCTCTGCCTATGTCTCTGCCTCTTTCTCTGTGTGTCTCTAAATAAATAAATAAAATCTTTAAAAAAAAAAAAAAAGAATATATGTTCTAAGGCATGTGATCAAGAACTTTTAGAACAGCCCCCCACCAAAAAAAAAGAAACAAAAAGCAGGTCACAGAAAGAAACAAGAATCTAGGTAGCTTCAGATTTCTTAATAGCAGTGTAGGAGTTTAGAATATGAAGGAGAAATTATTTTAAAATTCTCTCATAAAATGATACCCACCCTAGAAACTGATATCCACTAAAAGTGGGATAAATGTAATGCAAGCTGCAAGATTTTCCAAAATGATCAGAGAGCTCACCACAGGCTTACTGGAAAAGGACTGAGAGCTAAGACAGCCCCTTTACTGACCATGTCCCCAAGGAAGTTGTTAGACCTAAACTCAACTTCCCATGACACTGGTAGCTTCCGCTCTCTGGTAGGAGGGCCTGTAACTTGCACTGGGCCCCAAAGTCTCCTGGAGTGAAACAGCTAGTATCTGTAAATGGCTCCTACAAACATCCAACAGATATTCAAATCCAGTACTCAAGTAGCCTACATCATAAGAGGTGTGTTTATTTCTTCACTGATAAGATCGAATTTGTGCTTATACTTTAGGAATGGAGGGGCATTAAAGATTTTTCCAAGCACACTTTTCTGTGAGATAATGAAGGTGGTGCACCTGTGCCTTCTTTTCTCTTGCTGAGCCCCTGGTTTTAGGTTTCCCCCCTCGCAGTAAAGCCATGATAGATGATGTGTTGTCCTAAGCCCTTTTACCTGATGGGCTGTGAGCCTAAAGACATCACTTCCCTTGGTAAAAAGAAAGGAACCCATCTTATACAGTAACAGTCAAAAAATTTTTCACTAGTGGGATTTCTAAAAAACAAAACAAAACACACACACACACACACACACACACACACACACACACAAAACCCAAAACTGAAAATGGTAACTCCCCTACATCTTTTCTCAGGAAGCTGCTGGAAAAGATGCCTTAACAAAAATGAGAAAGTTGGTTTGAGAAAAAAAGATGTGATGAGATTCAAGAAACAGAGGCTCCATTCCAAAGAAGTGGAAAGACATCCCAGACAATGTGAATGGAAATGTGAAAGGGACAGCTGTGCAGCTGGCCTACAGAGCAACCACCACGGATTAATGAATTAACCTAGCCAGGAAGTTATGGAAGAGCTATTTCAAGAAGATGAAACTGACAGAGTATCTGATGCCTTCAATCATATTAAGGGGAGATTCAGAAAAACATTTTAGCAACAGGGGATGAATGTGTGATGAAAATTTAGAAAACTAGTAAATAAAAAATAGGCAATTATTAACTCAGATGGAGGTGGAAAAGAAGTTTTCAAGAAAAGAAATCACAGCATACCATACAGCTCATCTCAAAATAGTGTTTTCAAAGCCTAAACAAGATAATATTGATCTAAACAAATAATGACAGAGCAGTATTAGAAGGGTCTAGGAAGCAGGCATGTACAGCTAGTGGCAAGGAGTTTAAGAGAGTGAAAGTCTCATTTTCTTTTGTGGGAGTCAAACGACAGTGTCTAAAAGTGAAAAAACAAGGGCGTGCACTGTAAGCACACTATTTAGAAACACAGAGGTAAATATCAAAAAAAATTTTTTATAAGTAAGAGTGAGAAGTGAAGTTGAACTAGGATGATGGAAGAGAGATGCTGTTTTCAATAAGCCTTTTAACTATTGGACCCTTAAAATATGTGCCTATATCATGTTAATAAAAATAAAAAATTTAAAAATAAGATTATATAACAAAAACATTACTATTACTATTGGAAAAATAGTAATTTGATAAGCTGAAAAGAGAAGTGATTGCCCACAGGGACATTATAAAGAGAATTTAAATCACCAATTTATTAGTCTAATGCTTCAATAAGAAAGCTATCACTCAACCATTACAAAACCAAAATAACAAAATAAAACAAAGTAAAGATAAAAATTCCTTAGACATGTGGTCAATTTAGAAAATGACTAATGATAAATAAACTCAAGAAAACTTCTCTTAATACTGGATAAAGGAAAGCTATTTTTAAAAGTTTAAAATTACCTAATTATGAGTAAGCATTTATAAACAGCTTACTGTACATAAAGATTATAGGTTAAGGACCCAAGCAGTTTATGGTCTAATAGAAGATAAAGACGCACACACAAATAACCACTGGTGGAGGTGAGAAACAAAGAGCAGTTCTAAAGAAAAGTTTTTCCTTTGATTAAGGGAATCAAGAAACATTCCATCAAGAGGTAGGATTTAATCCAAGCTTCAAAGATTGAGACATACTGGCGTGGCGGGGGTCTCCCTTCTGGGTGAACCATCATAAGTAAAGGATAAAATTAAGAGCACAGACATGTTTGGGACTATAAGAACATTGGTTTCACTGAAATATAGAAAACAAGAACTAAAAGGCAGACTAAAAAAAATTCGTATGGCCAGATCCTGGGTTTGCCTTGAATGTCATGCTAGGAATCTGGATTTTTGCCAGAAGGAAACAGAGTGTTCTTGGGAGAGCAGGGGCAGGGATGGTATAGGTCCAAAGACAATGGCCTTGAGCACAAGTGCTCCACTTGGGAGCTACTGAATCAACCAACAGAACAGAGTGTAAGAATGGGAACATGGACAGGTAATTAAAACCGACATGGATAAAACTGGGTCAATTTTCTCTTTAATTTTAATAGCACTTTTACCGAATAGCTCATTCAAATTGTTGTTGCAGGGCTCATAAAAATACCTGTGGATTTGTTTGATGCTCTCCTTCGAATTTCTGTCACCATCAGTCGTGAGACTTGGGTTGTGAACTGCAGAAGGTCAGAAAATTTTTCTGTCATCGTATTTGGCGGAGCATTTCCAAAAACCTGTGGATGGAAAAAAAAAATTAATGAAGCATTGTCAACTACTGCCCTTCATTCTGTGCATTTCAAAGTGTGCTATGATTTGAAAATCAAGTCAAAAAAGTATTCTTACACAGCTACTTTGAATCTGAAAAATGTTTATTTTTATGTTCTCATCTTCCATTTTATTGTAAATGCAGGAGTGATCACTCTTTTACTATTTATGAGTAACCACCTGACAACCATTTCAGGCCCTCATTCTGCTTCTATATTCTCTAGACTATTCCTGTATCCTCTCCTTTTTTTCTCTTTAATTTAAATTCAGTTTGCCAACATATAGTATAACACCCAGTGCTCATCCCATCAAGTGCCCTCCTTAGTGCCCGTTACCCAGTCACCCCATCTCCCCATTCTCCTCCCCTTTCACAACCCTTTGTTACCCAAAATCAGGAGTCTCTCATGGTTTGTCTTCCTCTCTAATTTTCCCCATTCAGTTTCCCTTCCTTTCCCTTATAGTCCTTTTCACTATTTCTTATATTCCACGTATAAGTGAAGCCAGATGATGACTGTCCTTCTCCGACTGACTTATTTCACTTAGCATGATACCCTCCAGTTCCATCCACATCGAAGCAAATGGTAGGTGTTCATCCTTTATAATGGCTGAGTAATATTCCATTGTGTGTGTGTGTGTGTGTGTGTACACACATCTTCTTTATCCATTCATTTGTCAAAGGACATCTTGACTCCTTCCACAGTTTTGACTGTTGTAGACATTGCCACTCTGAACATTGGGGTGCAGGTGTCCCGGTGTTTCACTACATCAGTATCTTTGAGGTAAATACCCAGAGGTGCAATTGTTGGGTCATAGGGTGGCTCTATTTTTAACTTCTTGAGGAACCTCCACACTGTTTTCCAGAGTGGCTGTACCAGTTTGCATTCCTCCCAACAGTGCAAGAGGGTTCCCCTTTCTACACATCCTCTCCAACATTTGGTGTTTCCTGTCTTGTTAATTTAGCCATTCTCACTGGTGTGGGGTGGTATCTCATTGTGGTTTTGATTTGTATTTCCCTGAATGCAAATAATGCAGAGCATTTTCTCATGTGCTTGTTGGCTATGTGTAGGTCTTCTTTGGAGAAATGTCTGTTCATGTCTCTGCCCATTTCATGACTGGATCATTTGTTTCTTGGGTGTTGAGTTTGATATGTTTTTTATAGATCTTGGATACTAACCCTTTATCTGATATGTCATTTGTGAATATCTTTTCCCATTCTGTAGGTTGTCTTTCAGTATTGTTGATTATTTCCTTCACTGTGCAGAAGCTTTTTATGTTGATGAAGTCCCAAGAGTTCATTTTTGCTTTTGTTTCCCTTGCCTTCATAGATGTGTCTTGCAAGAAGTTGTTGTTGCCAAGTTCAAAAAGGTTGTTGCCTGTGTTCTCCTCTAGGATTTTGATGGATTCTTGTCTCACATTTAGATCTTTCAACAATTTTGAGTTTATCTTTGTGTATAGTGTAAGAGAATGGTCTAGGTTCATTCTTCTGCATGTAGCTATCCAATTTTCCCAACACCATTTTGAATAACATGTTTAAAATACAACTTGTACAATAAATCATATCTAGTTACACTCTTAGTACATATTGCACAACCTTTGAATGAATGATTAAATAAATGAAATAAAAGGCCAAAGACTATTTATCCATAAAATGTGAATCAATCTTACTGATAAATTTTAGAAAGCATGATGTTTCTCTGAAGATATCGTAAATTAAGAATTTACAGAAAGGAGACCCTGGGTGGCTTAGTCAGTCAAGCTTCAGACTCTTGGGTTTAGGCTGAGGTCCTGATCCATGGGTCTTGAGATCCAGCCCCACTCTTTGTAGGGCTCCATACTCAGTAGGGAGTCTGCTTGAAGATTTTTTCCCTCTGTCCCTCCCCACACTGGCCCACATGCACATGCTCTAAAATCAGTAAGTAAATCTTTTTTAAAAAGATTCTTTTTTTAAAAAAAGAAGTTAGAGAAAAATGGTAAGGTTCTATGATGGCACATAGATACATCAGATGGTGAAAAGCAGGGATTTATCTATGGTTAAGTCCTAGGCTGAATACAGAATTCAGTAAACTCATGTTAAAGCTCAGAATTTTGAAATTCTAAAATTCCCAAAACAAGACTGTTAGGAAAAAGACTAGGATAAAGAAAATGAATGTGAGGGTCATGAAAACTGCTTGTTTCTGGACAGCCCGGGTGGCTTAGCGGTTTAGCACCGTCTTCAGCCCAGGGTGTGATCCTGGAGACCCGGGATCGAGTCCCACGTCAGGCTCCCTGCATGGAGCCTGCTTCTCCCCCTGCCTGTGTCTCTGTCTCTCTTTCTCTCTGTGTCTCTCATGAATAAATAAAATCTTTAAAAAAAAAAAAAAAAGAAAACCACTTGTTTCAATAAAAGTCTAAGACAAAAGAACTTTAGAATAAATAATTTTTTGAGTTTTTGACATCTTATTTATTTATAGAGAACAAGGGTGAGAGAGCATGCATGCAAGCAGGGGAGAAGGGCAAAAGGAGAGGGGGAAGAGAATCTCAAACAGACTCCTTACTAAATACAGAGCCCTATTCAGGGCAGAGCTCAATCTGAAGACCCTTGAATCATGACCTGAGCCTAAACCAAGAGTCGGAAGCTTAGCCCACTGAGCCACCAGGAGCCTCTAGAATACATAATTCTTAAAGATAAAACAATGTGAGTTCGGCAAAGAAGACAAGAAAATGAAACCTGGACTGATAGTCATAGGAAAAGAAATGGTTTAAAAAAAAAAGAAAGAAAGAAGAAAGAAAAGGTATTATAATGGCTATATAGCTGGATATACCCTGAAATATTATTTTAAAAACTGTTCTTTATAGCTAAAACGAAATAGTCTTTAAAACTATTTTAATAGCTCTCATATTATTTTGTATTCTTATTATTTATTCAAATGTTACTACATAAGGAAGGAACATATCTTATCTTTGTATTCTACTTTAATTTATAGGGATGTTCCCTAAATATGTTTATTTATATGCTATCTCCCACTCCCCACAACAAATTCTAGAGAATGTATAAGTAGCATTGAAGGATACATAAAATATAACATGAGAATATAAACTAAAATTAAGAAAAAACAAAAAAAGGAAATAAACCAAGGCTAGGGAATGGATGGAAGGAAAAAGATTAAAAATCTAAGACCAAAGACTAATTCTGTATTTGCCATGTTTTGGTCATAAATTTTAGCTCAAATAGAAAAAAAACAAAACAAAACAAAACAAAAAAACTCTATCACCTGGTTCACAGTGTCCTTAGGTAAGAAAAATATACATTTAAGGAAGTATCTGTGTTTTTATACAATAGCATGAAAATTTCTTTCCAAGGATCCTCAAAAAAGGGATATAACTTATAATGTAATATCCTTGTAACAGAAATATATTTTTTACATTCTTAGAACAGATACTATATTCTTTATAACCTCCTTCAAATTGAGCTGAAAGTACCAAACAAATCAATTCTACAGGATATAACTTTAACTATCTAAAGACTGTTCATTAACTTGACACAGGAGTAATTTTACATTATCTCAAAGAACAAATAAACTGTACTTTTCAAGACCTCAATAAATTGCTTTTTTTCTGCTGAGATATTGATAAATGTTGTGTGCTTATAGCTCAACTATATCACTTAGACTGATACTCTTTAACAAACAAATTGAAGGCAGGTTAGAAATTGAGGGGTGCCTGACTGGCTTAGTTAAGTGTCTGCTTTGGCCTAGTCATGATCCCAGGGTCCCGGGATCAAGCCCCAAATTGGGGAGTGGGAAGCCCCTCCCGCTAGGCAGGGAGCCATCTTCTCCCTCACCTCCCCGTTCATGCTCTCTCCCACTCACTATCTCTGTCTCTCTGAAATAAATAAAATCTTTAAAAAAAAAAAAAAAAAAGATTAGAAGTTGAGAAGCCTAATAATGACACATGCTTGAATAAACGTCCTACTTCCAACTCAGAGATGTGCGTATATAACTGTTGTTTATAAAACAATTGTGTATTCTGCTAAGGCATTTAGGAGGCCTTCTGCCAAACTAATTTATCTTTTTATTATTTTAAGATTTTATTTATTTACTCATGAGAGACAGAGACAGAGAGAGAGAGAGAGAGAGAGAGAGAGAGAGGCAGAGACATAGGCAGAGGGAGAAGCAGGCTCCATGCATGAAGGCCAGTGTGGAACTGGATCCCGGGACTCAGGGATCAGGCCCTGAGCCAAAGGCAGGTGCTCAACCGCTGAGCCACCCAGGTATCTGTAAAACTAATTTAAAATAGGCCAATATTCCTATCACTCAGTATATATTAATATATATTTTGCTCCTAAGAATTATTTGGAAAAGATTTTATTATTTTGAGAGGGACAGAAGAAAGCATGAGCAGAGAGGGAGAAGCCAACTCCCTGCTATGAGGGAGAAGCCAACTCCCTGCTATGTAGGGAGCCAAATGTGGGGCTTAATTCCAGGACCCCAAGATCATTACCTGAGCTAAAGGCAGAGGCTTAATTGACTGAGCTACCTAGGCACCCCAGCTCTGAAGAATTACTAAGAGCTATTTTATTCTGAAGGGTTATTTAGACAACTTCGTAAGATTAAAAGATCACTTCTTAGACAGTAAAAGGATACGACTCTTCAAGCAGTCTTCATGTTAGGTGAATAATACATTGTTAAAAATCCAACTAACAACAACAACAAAAAAATCCAACTAACTTGGGGTGCCTGCGTGGCTTAGTCGAGTAAGCGACCGACATTTGACTTCCGCTTAGGTCATGATCTCAGGCTTGTTAGACTGAGTCCCAGGTTTGGCTCCACACTGGGCATGAAGCCTGCTTAGGATTCTCTCTCCCCTTCTGTCCCACCACCACCCACCCCCCAACCCTGCTCTCTTTAAAAAACAAAACAAAACTACCTTTTCACACAAATCCTGATATTTAACTGCTTTATTGCCATAAGAAACTTTTTTCAAAAGATAT